TGTTCTCAACGGCTCGGATCACCTCTTCCTGAGGCTGCACCTTTCGGTTAGTAAGAGGAGACACTCGGTGTTGGGGGCAGGACGGGTTTCCTTCCTCCGCTTTTCCTTCTCTGGCAGCTCCGGCTGCTCCTCTGCGCTCGGCCTCTGGCCCACCACCCCTCCAGCCTCTCCTTTCCCAGCCCCCATAGTGCTCGCTCGCTCTCTCTCCCCTCCCCTGCACCCCCATCCCTCCTCCCCCCTCTGCCAGCCCACTTTGGGAACCGGGAACGGACAAAAGGGTCTGGACAGACTCGGGGACACCCCTCCGTAGCTCCCTACCACGTGGCCCCTCCCTCCGCGGATTGCAGGCAGCTCCCCGCTTCCCTCCCCAGCCGAGAACTGGGGAGTTCGGGGCCCCGGAGGCATCCTCCTTTCCTAGCCCCTTTCGCGCCAATCGCTCCTTGCGGGTGCTGAGCCTCCCGGCGCCTCAAATGCCAGGAATTCACCGAGCGCGGGTGGGGGAGACTTGGAGGCAGCTCTTTGGGTTCCCAAGCTGGGGGATTGGCCACTCGAAGGTGGTGGGGGCAGGGAGACGTGCTCCTGACTGAAGGCTCCAGTTCCGGAGGGAGGGAGGTGACAAGGTTTCCAACCTCAGCGAGCTTGAGCCTGATGAGAGAGACTCAGTCTCCCTCCCCTGTGCAGTACGAACTCAATGGAATAAGGACGAATGCAAAAGTGTGATAAAAGTGCCCTGCAAAGGCTGAGCTGAACCTAACAGATTCGTGAATTTCTGGCAGAACCAGATTGTGTGGCCCTGGCCGTCTTGCGCCGGCACTTAGCGCGCTCCCTATCCTCCCAACTCCTCCCTCCCCGCCAAAGTTTGGAATTAAAAGTGAACTCTCTCATTCCATACCAGGGTAAAATTTAAAACAAAGGCCATTTAAGATGGAAGTCATCAAGCAAACCAGACAAAACAGTTCAAAGCGGCCTCACTGTAAAGGCACACTTAGTGGTACGAGCCTGGCCCTAGGTAGCATGCATTTTAGAGCCTATGGGAACTCTAAAATGGGGACCTGGAGCCCCACAGCTGACAACTAAAACCATTTTATCCATAAAGCAAAATGACTTCGTGGGATATTGCCTGTGACCAGCATCATGCTTACTGTACCTTCAGCCTATCCCAGGCCCACCCCATGACAAAAATTACCCAACTGCTGGGAGGAGAAGGGTGCCAGAAGGCACCCTATCTCTTCAGGTCTTGGGTAGGGATTCTAGGCTGACAAATATGGCAGGATTGACAGATATCAGGCAGAAAAGTGCTTGCAACAAAACCTGACAAGAATGGTCAGCGCAGTTACCATCTATCAGTATTTACACAGTGCCAAGTAGATCATTGTATTTAATCCCAAATTCAGTCTCCTGTGGTAGGTGCTGTTCTCTCACACACACCCTTTAAGAGTTAAGGAATCTGTGGCTCAGAGAAGGTAACTTGCAGAGGTCACACAGCTGGTTAGTGATGCAGCTTGATTGGGGGAATCCACTGAAAAAGCCACCTCTTTCCCACAGGGAGTGACTCTAAAACATTCTCAGAAAGGACAAGTACAATCATGGGCCAGGGCGCAATCTTGCTGGAAATGGGCTTTTTACCAAAATGTGGAGGGTGTTCACAGGGGCCCCAAGTCATCCTGCTGGTTTTGTAAATGCCACAGATTCCCAGAGAAAAACCCAAGCTCCTAGAATCCTAATGTAGACTCCAAAGGACTTGTTCTATCAGCTCATCCCCACAGAAATCATCCCACTTCCGGTTTGTCTTTCCTGGGTGGTGGTGAGCTTTACAGGATGCCAGGCCTTGAGTGCGCCCTTTGGAGGCAGTGTTATGGGGTGGGGGTGGGTTTGATAATGGACCCCCACTGCCCTACCCCCCAGTCCTCCCTAGAGGGAGGACAAATAGGCCCATTGATTCGAAATTCTCCCAGAGGGCATCAGAGTAATGACTTCGGACTGTGTGATGCCTACACCCCCTTTGACCTCCTGACTGACCCCTGCCCTGGGAGGTTCCAAAGGCCACAAATCTCAGTTGCTTGTGGGCCATGTGGTTTGTGGCTGTTTGTAGTTTTGGAAGGGAGGGGGTTTAGGGGACACTGCTTCTCACTGTGCCCAGGATCCAAGAGAACTCGCAAGGGGCTGGCAGGGCCCCTTCCAAACACTGCCGAAGCACACTGCAACTACTGATAGGACTCCACCACTGATTTTTGAAAGCAGCAGGACTCTTGGCTCATTTACATATATGTTTGTACTGCCTGCTATATTTTGGTTAAAGAGAAGGGCAGAAAGGCACAGAACATATATAACAGACTTCTAACTGGGTGGTTGAGCTTGTCCCTGCCTTAGGGAGCTAACTAGCCAAAGATGGCTCTTCACCCTCTGTGTTTATGTGTGAAAGCCCCTCTAAGTGCAGAGTCCTGCACAGGGGTTATGTGGCATCAAAAAGATCAAACCCCTAAATGGGTACTTTGAAGCCAGGTGTGTAGGTGGATGGGTAGATAAGGCAGCAGCCTTTAGGCTTGAAAAAGTTTGGGAATCTAGACCCCTGAGTTTTGTTGTTTGATAAAAACTTAGTGAGTTTCTTCTCTGTGTCAGGCACTCTACTAGGAGCTGAGGTAACATACTAAAGATCAGTCTCTGTCTCCATCTTTGAGGTACTCATAATCTAGCATAGCTCACAAAAACACAATAGGATAACTTTGGTTCTGTCAGCCATCCAAGAGAGGAGAGGAGAGGATTGCTAAGGGGTGTGTATGTTGGGGGGGGGGGGATCGGGTCATCTGGAGGGACTTGGTTGGGGACGTGATTGCTTAATCTGAGTCTCAAGCATCCTCCTCCTCCCCATCTCCAAACTGCTTTCAACCACTTACTAACTCCCTTTGTGAACTCAGCAAGTGATTAAGCTCTCTGTACAGCCTCAGTGAAGGGCCCCTGTGGGTCCTATGTGCCCTACCTCCTACCCTGCCTGGTTCTATATCCAACATCTCGCCCCAGAGTGAGAGCATAACGACCAGCCTCCTCAAGATGCCAGGCAAACGTGTGGCAGACTTGGGGAGCAGGGGTTCTTGAGAGGGAGTGGGAGTGGAAGGGAGATGCGGTGGCGTGCCGAAGGCGTGGCCCCAAGGGGAGGTGGGAGGAGGTGGGGTTAACCTTCTGCTCGTAGGTAACCATCTTCCCGTATTTAACTGTCCTGCCGCAGACCTTCCTCTTCCCACCGGCCTGAATTGGGAGCTGAGTAGCAACACTGCTGAAGGAGAGCGGGGCTGCCCGGGAGAAGGCACTTCAGGAAGAGCAGCCAAGTGTCCTCTGTCCCCCACCCCATCCCTGTAGTCCACCGGAGGGCCGAGACACTGCGGGAGTGGGTGGGAGAGGACGGCCTGTTCTTTCCCATCTCCGTTCCTCCGCGACTGGGATCGCCTGCGTTTCTCCAGGAGTAGAGCATTCGCCCGCAGTTCCCCCTCCCCCTGGCTTTAAGCCCCACTCGGGTACACTTTTGGGGAGAGGGTTACCAGTTCCGTTAAGTTTTCTCCTCGCGGTGTAAAGGACTTCCTTTACGCGTCCCCCTAACGCGCTTCAGGGGGCGCTTGAGCTCGGGGCCGGGCCCTAGTCCTACTAGAGCCGGCCCGGCTGCCCCTCCAGGATTTCCTGCGCGCCGGGCAGCGAGGTCGGCTCTCACTCCGGCCTCCGACGAGTACCGCTCGGCTTCCCGGGAAAATGCAGAAACTCCCCGTTCCCCGACTCCTCCACCCCGCCGGGCGGCCGGCTCCTCCCGCTTACCCTCCGCCCACGCCTGGCTCAGGCCCCTCCCCGAGCCCTCGGCGCGGGGGCCTCCCTGCCACCTGCCCGATGCCCAGCCCACATGCAAAGCGTGACCGCCGGGGAAGGAAGCCGAGCGCGCGCCCACACCGGCCCTACGCCCCGCGCGGCGACAGCCCCAGCGAGCAGCTCGCCTACTCCGGCCGTCTGCGCTTACCCAGCATGCACTTCCAGGCCCGGAGCTATCTCGGAGCAGCAGCCCCGGGGTCAGAGCGGCCAGAAGAAACAGGAAGTTTGGGACGGTCCTAGTAGTGGGGCCGGGAGTCCTAACCCGCAGGCCCTTAACTCGGTGCTGCCTCTCCCTTCCCCCGCTCCCTCCCTCTGGCATCGTTCCCTGGGGTCCGTTTTGGGGGCTGGCCCGAACTCCAAAAAGCCAGATGTGTTTGGGGGTCATTCAAGGCACACTCCCAGGGTTCTCTTCGCCTTAGCATCTCCCGGCTTTATGAATCGAAGGGTGGGAGGGAGAGAAAGTGCTCCCGCTGCGGTAGGGTGATAGGCCCCAGGGGGCTTGGACTTCTGGGCGCTGAGAGGTAGAAGTGAGAGGCTGGGTGAGGGGAGGGGCTGGAGGTTAGCCTCGCATAGCCATCTCTTGGGCAGGTAAGGCAGAGGATAGAACGTGGGGCTGAGTCCAGGATTATTGTCTTTCTGTCCTCCGCCATTTAAATGCTCAAAATTGCCCTCAGGGCTGACCAAAGCTGCCCCTGGAACCATCTCAGTAACTTGCTCCGCTGATCCCTTAGGAGCAGGAACAAGGGACAGGAGTGCCCAAAGCAGCCCCCTTCCCTGGACAGAAAAAAAACCGCCAAAGACACACCCAATGGAGATGATCTCGATTTCTGCACCCCTTTGCCCAGGCAGGAAGAACTGGAGTCTCAGTTCCCTTGACCTCTCTTTCAGTCTCCACCCCCACCCCAACACGACCTAAACCAGTGACACAGGTAACCTCAACTATGCCACTTGAGCCTCTCCAAGGCTTCTCACTGAAAGGAGTGTGAGTCAAGGTGGATCTCAGTGAACTGTGTTGATGCTACCATGCCATTTGGCCAATGATTTTTTGGGTTGTTCAGGCAGGGCTTTTCTGTGCCATGCGTGTTCTCTTCCCATAGCCTTACACTCCCAACCAGGGACTTCTCACGCCCAGCTCACTCAGCTCTCCTAGTTCCCTTGACTCACCGTGCATCTTCCTTGATTTTCTGAGAGAAGGAGGGTGGGGAGAACAAGAATGTGTATATATATATATATATATATACATAAGGATGAATATTTTGGAAGTAGGAAAGTGAAGGTAAACACTCATTGGCTGTAGAATGATTGTATGACTGTCCCGGACACCTCCAGGCAGAATTAATTGGTCTTTCCTCCGTGCTCCCATAGCATACGATTTATACCTCTATTATCACATTGTACTGTAATTATTTGTTTACATGTTTCTCTCTTCTACTAGAGGGTGAGCTCCTGGAGGGCAGAAACCCTGCCTTGTTTAAACTCTGTAGCTTCCTGCACAGATCCTAGCTCACAAAAGGGCCACTGAATAAAAGAAAACTGGAAATGTAAGGGATTCAATTAGATGACCTCCAGGATTTCAAGCAGCTCTAATACACTGTGATGCAATTTAAACATGCACCTGTAGACACACTCACATCCATGTAAACACACAAACAGAGCAAATGGACCAACACCATAATGCTTCTTGTAAAGTGAGCAGTTATTACACGATGTCAAACACCGACCTTTGGAAATGAATATCCAATCCCAAATATCTGAAGTGTAGACAGCCAACGTTACAAGTGGTTTGGCTTTTTTTTTTTTCACTGCCTTGACTTTTTTAGCAGTCAAAGCCCTACATGTAGAAAGTGTGAACCCTTGAGTCTAAAGGAACCTCTGAGATGCTGAGATGTTTGGGAACAAGTTTCTTCATTTTACAGATGAGAAGGTCTAAAGTCAAACAGAAGCTGAAATGTCAATCCACCATTCTCCAACGCTGGGAGCATGTATGACACATGTTTGTAGGCAGACACCTGCCTGGCCCTGTATACATGGGCTGCTGACAGGCAGAGACCCACAGGAGTGGGGATATCCCTAAAACTTGTGCCGCCACTCAGTGGGACACACTCTGCCCCCAAACCCCTACCTAGCAAATGAGGACAGCACCCCCCCCAACCCCCATGTAGCGGCTGCTGGTGAGGGCAGGGAGGACAGGGGTCAACCTGGCCTAGGAAGCACTTGCCAGAGTGCGAAGGGTACAGAGACGCCTACAGGTTTGCAGCTGTCATTTAACGTGCTCGGCTGGCCCAACTCCCCTAGGCTCTCCTCCGTCTGCAGAGGGCGAGGAGAGGAGACATTCCGGGCTCATTCCAGCGAGCCGTGTGCACGCTGCAGGCGTGGTATGTGAGTAAGCGGCAAGCTTCCAGCTGCTGCCTTACACTTCGAGGGCTGACAGGCAACCCCCTCCCCCCAAACAAAACTGGTTACCCACCGCTGGCCTCTCTTCACATGGGCATGATTAAGTCAGCCAAGACTGTTGCAAGCTCTCCTCAAAGGAAGAAATTATGACTTTTTCTCCACCTGGCTCACCCGCCTTTTCCTAGGGGATCTCCTCTTTCAGACCCACCTCTACCTAAAAGCCAACGGTGCAGCCTTAACCCAACACCCCACACACACACACCTGCCTCTGGTAGCCCCATTACACTGTGCTCCTTTTAGCACTCCTGTCAATAGTTTGCACCCTAATTTTTGCTGCCTGCTCACTATTTCCCATCAGGGTCCTCTCTCCCACCTCCACCCCACTTAACATGAGCATCCCTTCCTTGCTTTTGCTGAGAGCTTTATCACTTTCAAAGCGCTTTCCCACACGTGTCTCATTAAGCTTGACCATAACTTGTCAGACAAGGATCGCAGCTTCATTTTACAGACCAGGAGACTGACGCTCAGAGAGGATAAGCAAGCTGCCCAAGGTCACACAGCTAATATCTGAGGACGGGACAGGGCCACAACCTCCATCTTTGACTACAAAGTGCATGCTTTACCCACTCTGCTTCCCTAATGCCCAGCTGATGTCCAGTTCCCCCAAAGGAGGGAGCCGTCTTTCTGCTTCTTTTGTACCTCCAAGGTACCTGATGTAGGGCTGGCTCTGCACAATGGATATTCCAAGGCCAAGGGAGATCGACAGACCCATCATAAAGCCAGCCAGCCAATCCTGCAGGCTCCAGGAAGGGAGAGGTGCTTGCAGGCTAACGGTGCTGTGCACCACGCGAATCTTCCCAGCAGCCCCCACCGCTTCTGTCTCTTTTAGGTTTGAACTTGCTCACAGGGAGCAACTCTGAGACCGAGACCGAGACCGAGACCAGAGAGGAGAGCGTGTCTACCGTGTAGACCCCGACTCTCCCCTCCCCCTCTCCTACGGAGCTTCGGAGTGTTTAGAGCTCATGAATAAAGCTAATATTGGAACTAGTCGTATATTGGTCGGAGAGGGACTTTTGTCTGGATCCTTTGCAGGGAAGGATTGTGCCCTAGGAACGCCCCGAGGCCCCAGCCCTTTCGCGCCGGCTTGCTCGAGCCGAGGGGCACCCCCTTTTCGGAGCGCTGCTGATTTCCCTAGAGGGCGGCCTCACTTGGCAGCTCCCCCCACCCCCGCCGCCATCGGACTCCCTCACTGTACCTGCGCCCCGCCCCGCCCGTCCTCAGGGGCGGGGCCAGCCCCAGGGCAAGCTGGAGCAGGAAGTGGTTGCAATTACACACTCCCGCCCCGCACTGGCTGCCACTGCCGGGCGACGACGCTAACTCGGCCGGCCCCAAACGTCAGGGGAGAGGCTGGAAGGCTCGCCGGGGTCTCCTGAGCTGGAATGAAGCTCTTTAGAGTTTCGAAAGTTGGGCGAGGCTGGAAGCCCTAATTGACTGCTGACCACATTCAGGAATGAAGGGAGGGGTCGTAGGACTCTGTCCCCACTCCAGCGTGGCAGGCACTCGGCACCGTCTTCCCTCGTTTAGCTTGGCCACTAGCTAAAAGCAGCTTTTCCCCTGCTGTTAGGGTCCCCTGCTCGCGACTGCCCGGACAGGCGGCCCCAGCCCCTCCTAGCAGGAGGAGACAGGCTTTGATCCTTTCTTGCCGCCAGCCGGCAGAGTACAGTAGCTTTATACCCCCTATTCCTCCCTACTTTCTGGTCATCCCCCTCTAGGGTGGGCTTTGGGCGGGGTGGGGCGTGTACCCGGGCTAAGTAGCTTGTAGAGAGAGAAGGCATAGGGGGAGTTTGCGAATGTTTGGCCCTGATGGCTTCCGAATTCTCTTGGATGGGCTTTCACTAAAAGCACCTTCAGCTTAGAAAATTTGGGCTACATTAGAGGAGCAGCAGTAGAAAGGGGCTCAGTGGTGAGACACAGAATGAAATGCGGGGGTATGAGAGGGAAAGGGGAAGAATGAAGTAGTTAGGTTAAGCCCCAGTGGCTCCATTGGAGGCTCTTGGACCTTCACTGGCATCTTCTGAAAGCCCTAAGCTCCTTGGGTATGTCTGAAGCCTGCATTCAGCGGTTGCTTCTCCAAACTCACTGTCCTATCTCACATCAGTGCACCCTCCTTTCCTTGTTCTAGCCAAACCACCCTTTCTCCCAGGCTAGGCCTGCCCAATCTGCTGAGGTGGGCTGGGACTCATGTTGGGGCTGTCCAAAGAGGAAGAGCTTCCCTTCCCATCCACAGGCAAGAG